AAATACTAAAATTTTGGACATAAATGTCCAACAACCTTTATGAATGAGTAAATCCATAATTTCTAGGTATAAATACTTAAAACAACCCCCATTAACTCCATTTGAGCTAATGGGTTAGAACTCATAATCTATATGGACCGAAAATAGTCTCCAATTATTAATCATAACTAAAAGTTTCAAGAAAATAGGTTGAAAAAGGAAGAAGAATAAGCTAGGAGACTTACTCTTAGGATTAGATGGCTTAGAAACACCTCCAAGCTCTTTAAGATTGAAGCTTTATCAAAGCTCTCTTTGTTCTCTCCTTTTAACTTATATGATTTTCCCTTGTTTTTCAAGTCTGTCACGTACTTAACATTGTAGAAAATGTACTGTGTGCTGCAGCGCATGTACGACATGCCACGGCACCTGGTACAGAGAAGGTTGTTTTATATCTTTTGGCCCTGTGTGTTATGGCACATCACGCACATGTCATTACATGTGACATAAAGGCTTTTCTCCTTATTTTTTTTCACTTTTAATGCCTAAAGTGATCCAATTTCACTTTGGATCCAAATTTATACTTGAAATCTCAACTAAAGACACTCATTAGTCCCTTCTGACCACACACCACATAAATTCTATTTAATTATCCTTAATTAGGTTGATTATCAAGGAGTAATTTTTAGGATGTTACATTTACCTTGCATAAATAACAAACTATTCAAGTTTTGATAACATTCCATTCATGATTAATAACAACACATTTAGATTTTAACAAGACATAAAAACTAAGCACATGTTTAATGGAACAAGCATTCACCCTGCATAAATGACAAGCCGTTTGAGTTTTGACAACAACCTATTCGTACTTTAACAAGATAGAAAAATTGATAAGATATACTTAATATTAAGTGTTAATTCTTCATCAACAAGTATTTATTTGAGAATTGACTATAGCTCATTTGAAATTAACAACAACACATTTGGATTTTAACACGTGATTTTTTATTATTATTTAAAATTTTAAGGGCAATGTCATCTTTTTCTATGAAAACTTAATTTTAGCCAAGTACTAAGGGGTTGCAGTGTAATTTTAGAATCTTATGATCTTTCTTTGATATAAATTACCTCAAGGGATTCTCAGCTGATATTTTCCCTAAAATATGGGTGGAGGCTACCCCATCATACAAGTGGGCCCATGATTGCATGCGCTAAAATTGATTAGCATAAAATATAATTTACCAAACAGAGGTAAGAGTCATGAAATTTGGCAACAGGTGCAGTTGATATGATAAAAATTTAGGAGAATGACATTAAAATTTCAAAATAAAAAATTAATGACAATTAGATTTTTGATAAAATTTTTTGAAAAACAATTATAAATGTTGATTCAGATAGTTTTAAATTTAAGAGTTTCAATTACGAATAAAATATTTAAATTCTAAATATAAATCTCAATTTGTAGTTACAATTCTAGTTTGCAAGTTATATGAATCAATATTTATAATTTATTTTTATAAAATTTTGTTAAAGGCTTAACTGTTAGTAATTCCCTACTTTGAGATTTTATTGTCATTCTCCTAAAAAATTTTCCATTAAAATTGAATTATCATTGGTGTGCCAGATTTTCTTGGGAAAAAATGACAATTAAGGATCTCATAAGATGATGAATTACAATTAGGAATCCTAAATTATTAAAATCTTAATAATGAATCATAGTCCTTAATTGAAATTAAAAACATATGGTTTAAAATTAAGAAAAGACACTACTGAAGTTATTATTATAGGTTGGGACTATAATTAATCTCAGTTGAAAAAATTAAGATCCACACTTGGGAATGGAATTAACTGTAATTCCAACCCATAATAATAATTTCAATAATTTCAACCCACAACATTTGGGATCCTGATTTTTTCAATTGAGATTAATAATGGTCTCAACCTATAATATTAATTTTATTAGTAGCTTTTCTTAATTTTTTAAGTAATTTACCTATATATTGACAAGTATAAAAATTCACAAGCGATTGCCTTAATATTTAGAAGTGACTTTGGTAAATTTTTAAGCGATTATCATATATTCGTAAATGTCTTTAATTTTATATTGGGAAACAATCCATTCCCAAATGTGGTTCCTGATTTTTCTAATTAAGATTAATAATAGTAGCAACTCATAATAGTAATTTTAACCATGTTTTTTAAATTTTAAACTTGTGTTTTTAATTTCAAGTAAGGACTATGGTCAATTATTAAAATTTTAATAATTCAAAATCTTTAATTGTAATTAATAATCTTATCAACCAGTTACTTCCTGTCTTTGTGTTTGAATTGGCATCCAAAAAAAAAAATTCATAATGTTATCATGTGTTTAATTGTCACTTTCTCAATTTTCTTAGTAGATGAAAAAATGGCTAAAATCTAGCATTAAAGGTCTACATAAAGGTGGGATTTCAAGCGGGCCGAGCGGGTTCGGGCTTAGCCCGAATAATCCTGACTTGAATAGGCTTGAACTTGAACATACTCGACTTCCATGAAAGCCCAAATAGCCAAACTCGATCTAAATTTCTTAGAACTTTGGGCAGTCTGAATATCTAAATTTTATTTTTAAAATTATTTTAATTAATTTTTTACTTTAAAATTGATTATTTTATTTTATAAAATATTTTTGGATCCTTAAATTATATATAGGACTTAAATATATGATATTTTATTATAAAATGGCCTAAAACTTAAACAATTAATTACTGTTTATTATATTTTATATATTTTTTAACTATATATTTTTTATTTGGATATTGGGGTAAGCCCGAACCCGATCGGGCTTGGTTCAAATTTTTTAAATAAACTTGAGTATAAAAAATTATCTTTTTTTTAAGCTTGGCTTTTAATTTTTTTAAATAAATTTGACCTGAATTATTTGTTCTAGGTTTACAAAACTAGGTTGGCCAAACGACAAAAAGTCTACAAAACTAGGAATCCAGGACAAATTTCCCGACATTATCTTCATTTGATAGTCTCCGATGCCTAGAATTAGGGTCCATTGGAGTAAGCTACTTTTAATTTGTGGAAAGAATTTTTGCAATTCTCTAAAAATTAAAAATCATTTGGGTATCGTTGGTTGAAAAAAAAAAGTCATTTGGATATCGAATTTGAGTAGAAACCATATTTAGAAAGTCCATTTAAAAAGCTTCTAAAAATTGATTTCCTCAGCGTGAATATTTGTTGCTTTTGAAAGTGACTATAGGAGTTTGGCACTTGATAGAGTTAAAATGTGTCCCTGATTTTTAATTTTACCATGCTATTCTTCAAGTCCATTGCTCTTCCTCACATCTGTCTTGTCAATTTTTTATGTTATTTAAAATTTTATGTTACTCCTCATGTTTGTCCAATATATCAAATTTTATATTTGTGTTATTTAATATTTTAAATTTTATGTTATTTAAAATTATTATCATACATATGAAAGGTCAACAATGCCAAGGACACAGCAACATGTTTTGCACTTTTTTTGATCTTTTTAAGAATTGAAATTTGGATAATTATTGCTATAATTTATACATTATGGTTGTAATTAATAATTTTATATTTAAAAACATAAAAAAGAAAAGCACAGGGCTTCCAAGCCAACTTTTAAGCGCATCAACGTGAACCCATTCAACCTTTTAGAGTGTGTTTAGATTAAAAAGTTTGCAATTAAGTTTATGATTTAGTTAAGATTAGCAAATTGAGGTTAAAAAAAAGTCAATTAATGTAACGTGATTTATGTTTACATACTTTTTTCCTTCAAAAGTTAATTAGATAAACTGAAATTTATTTAGATAATTTGATTCAAAAGCCAACTAAGATGTTCAATAGCAAAAATAAGCATGATTTTTTTTATATTTTTTGATTAACTAATAAGTAAACAATATTAAACTTAAAATTACAATTAATAAGTAAAATATCTTAAATAGTCAATCATGAACACCTAAAATAAATTCATCTTCAATTAATATGATTTACAAGTTGATCTTTAATTATATCACGAATATGTTGCATCTATCTTGACAATGCAGGTAGATTTGATGAGGTTGGCTCATTAATATCGATATCTTCCTCATGGACATCCACGCTTTCATCTTCAGCTTGTATGAGTTGCTCATCAGTAATTGAATTTTTCCTCATAAAGTTATGTATTGCTATTATTGCACAAATAATTTGCACTTGTGTTTTATATCTAAATTTGGGCATTTTTTGTATACTTGCAAATTTATTCTTCTATACTCTAAAAGTTCTTTCTATAGTGCATCTCAAACTTGAATGAAAATAATTGAAGACCTTATTATTATTTGTAAATCCTACAACTTGCCTAAAGCCTAAAAGATGATAACATTCACAGCAATATGGACCAAGATATCCATTTAGTATTAGATAACCAAAATTAACCAAATAATATTTACATATTAAGTGAAAGGAAGTATTGTAAATTTGACTAATATTAAATTAATGCAACAATAATTATAGTGACTTTAATAAAATAAACTTGGAGGTGGATGTAGAAAATTCATTAAAGGAGTTGATATGGCATTATCAAATATTCGAGCATCATGAGTTGTACTTTTCTATCCCGCAATTACAAAAGCAAAACACATGTCCAATCACACACAACTATGACATTTTGTGTCGCATATCCCTTTTTTCCAATAAATTTGATTTGATCAATATCGCTAACCACACATGGCACATGACTGCCATCAATTGCTCCTATAGCATCCTTAAAGAATGGCCAATATTGTGGATCATTTTAAATTTTTGAATGAAATCGTTGAAACAAAAGATCAAGTGGCTTTATATTTGCCTTGGCTAAGTTAAGGCAGGCAGCTAATACTTTATGAAAATTTTTATGGACAGTTTCCTCTAAATGTTGAAATCATTCTTGCATCATCCTATCATTGACTCCATGTCCAACTTTATTTAAAAACATTCCAACTATTTTTTCAACTCCCATTTTTCAGACCAAGATCAACTAGTGTCGCGCATAGTTGCCTAAATAAATGTTTTTCCATTCAAAACATTTTATAACAACAATTAGGATGACCTTGCAAACTCTCGTCGACCCACATTTGCCTTGTTTGCTTGCTAATTCTTCGTGGTTCTTTATACACATATGGCATCATATATTCACTAATTAATTGACATATTTTTTCTTGCTCTGTTTTATCTTATTGTAACAAGGGAAGTAGTTGATGCACCACATTGACATCCCAAACCTTCAATCCAACTTGACATATATTCATTCAAATCTTTCATGATTTTTCAACCTGAGGTAAAATAGTATGTAAATATCATTCGCATGTAATATAAAATAAATAATATATACATATCATTCAACAACATAAAAAATAAACCATAAGATAAGCATTAGATAAGAGTTAAACATTCACTACAAATTAAGTCATCATAAGCATAACAAACTACAAGTGAAAATATAGCAACTATAAGTCAAACACAAGTTAAGTCATCATAAGTCTATATAAATATTCATCCAGATGTATTCTTTAAAATAAAATTTGGTAGATTGTAGACTTAGTGCTTCAACCAATTGACCAAGTGATTAGAATGATCTTCAAGTTGCTAATAAGCATCCTGTATAGGCTTGTACAGAATAAAATTAACATATCTTCAATGTAAATCTTTATCACCAAAAACTTATGGAAGTCCATTTAGGTGAGCTACAACCTCATAAACTCCTATGTCATTTGTTAAAATCTTATTCACTCTCTTTGTTTTAGCTTTATTTTCCTTAGTTATTTCACTTATAGCATCTACTATTTTCATTAACGCAAGGACTTTTTTGCCTTTTCCTCCCACCAACTCCTCCAACCTTTTTTCTTTTGCCTTGACTTCCATCAACACTAATTCCACTAGTATTTGTGGTCACATTCAATCCCAATAGCTTATTAGTGACCCTTGTAGGTGATGCAGTGTTAGATAAATTCAACTCCTCTTCACTATCACCAGATCCTTCTTAAAGGAAAAACAACTTATACCATATGCTCCATTCTTTCTTCATGTTGTCTAGCTCATTTTTCAGGTGCTTTCTTTCATACTTGTTTTTGCCTCAAACCCCTCTATTATTGCTTGCCTATTTTTGTTGAAAGTAGTTCCTTCTCTTTGTTTCTTGTATACGTGGTCTAAGCATTCATTAATGAAAATTTCTGTCAAGGTTATATTTCACACAGCTTTTCCTTTGTCACTATTCATTATTCTATAGACTAGCTAGCCATCACAAACATGCAAAATTAATAAATATATCTGCATATATGTATTAATTTACCAGATTTTTTTCTCCAGAATAACTCATATGAAAACAGGGGACATGTAAAGAAAAATAACTTTTTAATCATACATGAAAATGAAGCAATACTACAATGTACATAAAGAACCAGCTTGGATACACTTTGGTTGGGGGAAAAAACAAGCATTCAGTAGTCCATAGAACACATTGAAAAGGGAAAAAAATGTCACAAGACTCACACCAAGCATTTAATCAAGAAAAAAAACAAGAATCACCAAGGATCATTAGAAACATAGAACAGGCCAAAAAAATAGAACAGGCAAAAAAAAAAAAGAAAGAAACGATAAGCTTCTCCTTCTGCCAAGGATCATCAGAAACTCCCACTAAGGATCATCATGAAGCATTCAATCAAGAAAAAAAAAAAGAAAGAAATAGGGAGATGAGCATAGTCGTCCATCCATTCATTCATAATGCAAGAGACTAGAAAATAACAACCATTTCAGTCAACAACAAACAAGCGACAAAAAAGGCAGAAGAGATGATGATGGTTTGGGATGGACCAGAGATGCGAATCTGGTATGTGGCCACTTATAAGCAAAGTACAGTGGTAAGGAAGGCAAGGAAGGAGATGAAAAGAAGAAGCTTACTTGGCAAGGACAAGCGACAGGGAGTAGATCCGGTGATGGGAAGTGCAGATCTAGTGGACCACAGTGGAGATGAAGAGGCAACAAGGAGAAAAACTACTTTTAAGTAGGGACACCGTGGATGTAAGAAGGGATGACAGAGAACTAGAGATTGGCCGAAGGTTACTTGGTGCTTCAACACGGTGGAGATCGGCTGTTGGATGGTGCTACCTATGAGCAATTGAAGGTGAAGCAGAGTTGAAAGTTTAGAGCTTGGGAGGTCATGGGAGAAAGAAAGCACGCATAGGTACAAAAAGCAAAGCTCATGGTAGATAAATGAGAAGAGAGAGAAAGCATGAAAATTTAAAAGGTAATTAATGCTTCAGCCAACTGATCAATGCAACGCTGAGCAAAAAAAGCCAACTCTGGTGGCTTCCCAAAAAACATCCATTTAACTCTGACTGATAATTTTTGCTAATCTAAATAACACTTTTTGACCTTATTGTATTCTACCCTCAGTTTGACTCATTTTAATTGAGGTTAGAAGTTAAACAAAAGATGCACTTAATATTGGGCTTCAGAGTCGTGAATTTAATTGTCAGAAGAGAGACCAAACTCTTTAAATTCAGTGGTCCCGCCAAAACCAAACGGCCTAACTCCTCCGGTCCTGCTGCTACTCGGATCACTAGACTTGCTCTCTCGGAGCATGGTTTCTTTCCGTGCTCTCAGATCTTCAAAGCTCATCTCATGGAAACCGGTCCATTTTTTTCCTCTCTCTTTACTTCTTTCCATACTGTTTGGTTTTCGAGAAAATTCAGTCATATCCGGGCTAAATTGGTTTTGTAAGTCGCATCTCTCTGTATTTTGTTGATATACTTATGTTCAACGAATACCAGAAGTTGGAGACCGGAGTCTTCGAAATGATTAGCCGTTTGTTCGGTTTTATATATTGACTTTTATCAAATTTAATTTAATTCATATTTCCAACTTTGACCGCAGACTGGCGGGCTTCAGCAAACCCTAGCAGGTTGTGTAGAGCGGCGAGGCAATACTTTACACTCTGGAAAGTCTTCAGTAGTCAAACTGTGTCCTGGATTTGTAGGAGAAGGGAGGTATTTCGATTTTCGGTCCAATTCGATACCAGCGTTGATTGATTTTGCTCACGAGTCACCTCTCTGCACCACATTGTGTAAAGACGGTTTCAGAGTACGAACTGTTGAGCACTTGCTTTCTGCTTTGGAGGCTTCTGGTGTTGATAACTGCAGAATTGAGATAGAAAATTTAGATTGTGAAGGAGATTGTGCTGAGGTGAGTTTGTCAAATGTCACATCCGTTATTTTAAACATTGAGTACTCATTTCTACTCATTCTGTCCACAATAACATGTTTTCCCTGCGACGACCGCATCAACTGTTAAAACTGAAAATCTCTGATTAATTATTTCAATAGTGCGCTGTTGGAAAATTTAACCCTCTAGATTATGGGTAAGTGGAGACCAACACGGTGCTCTATTTTTCTTTTTCTGCTGATTTTCTCCTAGATTTTGTTCCCTGAAAGTCTGAAATAAAGAGGAGAATTTTACAGAAGATAATGTTTTGTAGCTATTTTTCTCCCAATAAATTGTTAGACTCTTTTTTATTTTTTTGCTTTATTATCCTTAAGAATCAGTTTGTGAGGCGAGTTAATTGTTTGGAGCATGTCTTATTTCCCTTTGTTTTAATTTTCTCCTCTTTGATTTCTAGTCCCAAAAAAAAAAAAAGACTCCTCGTTGATAAATTTTCTCGTTAGCAAAAGATATTTAATGTAGCAATAAAATAAATTATAAAATAGATAATTTCACAATTGTTCATGCAGATCCCTATATTTGATGGATCAGCCAGTGAATGGGTGGCAGCAGTGGAAGAAGTTGGTTTAAAGGCAGCAATTGATCACCAGGGCATTAGTTGTGAAAAATTAGCTCCACATTTGAACGAACCAACGTATGTTTTTAGGAATGATTCTTTCGTTGCTGCATTTCCTTCAACAATGGTTCAAATAACTTATGGCATCAACTTTCCACAGGTAAAGATAGATAGTTACGTTAAATTGACACTATCGGTGCCTAGAGTGAATGAGCTGAACTGCATGAAGTTTTATCTTGGGCTTAACAAAGCAGGTCCTACATTTGTATTTTGTCTTTTTAATTTAACTGTCGTCATGAGTTGTTATCATGTTATTCCGGAGCAATTATTGTGAAAAGAGGGCTTAAGTCGATGAATTGATCCTTGCACTGAAGAAATACAAGTTGCTTGTTTTAATAGAAACAGCTCTAGATCTAGTAGATAGGTTCACTGTTCACTTTTAAGGCATTGAAAGTATACAAAACTTGATCAGAGTATTTGGTGAAAGTAAATAACGGAGATGAAATTTTTATTGCTTGTTCCTGTATAACATATTTGTTTTTGAACGAAAATATGTGTTAAAGGGTGAAAGAGTACAGTTTGCATGTTATTCCATGATAATTTCCTACTTACGGTCTTAAAAAATAGGCTAGAAGCTGTAAGTTTTAGTCCCTTTTCCTTTTTTAAAAATGTGATTATAGGCTAACCTCGGACTTAATGATACTTGAAGGAACTTTTTAGGGGAATCCCAGTTTTATGCCTTACTGAATCAATGGTTTGAAAAGAAGAAGAAGAAGAAGAAGAAGCTCTAATTGCAATTTTGGAATAGGACAAAGCAGTAAAATGCGGCATGATGTTTCCCCATCATTCTTACATAGGCATTGACTAATGGGTATATGTATCTTCCATCGCAGGCACGCGCTATTGGATGCCAGTGGTTTTCAACTCCCTTGGACAGTTTACTTTATTCCAAACAGATAGCTTTATCAAGAACCTTCTGCATTTATGAGGAGGTTTGATGCAAACTTTTGTTATTTCTAGCCTAGTTAGTAATCTAATGCTGGATGGTCTGATTAAAAGTGTCTTGCAGATTGAACAAATGCGCATTGCTGGACTGATTAAAGGAGGTGGTCTAGATAATGCCATTGTCTGCAGGTAGCTGCTTTTACAGTCTGTATGATAACTTCTGGTGTCTGCTTTATTCTAGTGACGCTTTGCTGTATGCTTGCTGGAAACTAGTAGGTTCCTAGTTTGTGGAGCTAAAACAGGAAAGTGCTTGCAAACCTTCCTCTTCTGAGCCTCTGGATCAGAATTACCAAGTCAGCACAATCTTGTGTTTGAAAGATTATGCTAGTGCATTCGTGATTTGAACTATGTTTATAGTGGACTATACACATCTGATGGAGGCGGTAGGCTTAAGATGAAATTGATGACATTAAATTTGTAGATTGGGCTTGAATATGTATAAAACTTCAATGCAAAAGTATACTAGCTAAAAGATCTTCGTGCAAAGCCATGAGCTGCATAGGGAACTATAAGTTCGATGAGGTCTGAATGATTTAAGAGAAACATTATATGGTCATGCACTGATACACATATCATTTATTGCCACTAGTTCATCATATGAATGGAGTATTATCTACTTGTGCAGTGCCCATAATGGTTGGTTGAATCCACCTTTGCGTTTCAATGATGAACCATGTCGTCATAAGGTCCTAGATCTTATTGGAGATCTTTCCCTTTTTGCTCAGTTTGGGAATCAAGGACTTCCAGTGGCACACGTTGTAGCTTACAAGGCAAGTGTCTTTATTTCTTGTTTGTGTGTTTCAGTATGCCTTGAAAGAATTTGGATCAGCCTAAATCCTGAGAAAATTAGCAGTGTCCATTTTGAAAAGACATTTATGAATTTGAGTGTGCTTTGGAAGGATTTGGATCAGCTTAAATTCTAAGAAAACTAATGTTGTCACCAAAGAAGGTAAGACGTATTAAATTTATTTCCATTTAATATTTCTTGTCAAACATGTTCAAGTATTTTACTGAATTTACTTCTTGCTTAATTATGAAGAATATTAGTTTAGATAGAGCTCTTAACGATCCTGTCTGTTTGGTTAGAGGGAAATGGAAGAAAAATTTTAATGAGTTTGATTTAAAAAAAGGGAGAAGTGGGGCTGAAAGATTTTTAATTAATTTTCTATACTCTTTTAATTTACATCTACTCTTTATTAAAATTTTGTAGCTCTACTTATCCATTTTTTTTTAAATTGAATTCATTAGAATCTCTCATCCCCCTCCTTCCATTCCCTTCCAACTCCTTTGTTAACTGTTACTTGATACCGTCAGTTGTTGCTATGATTGCAAATAGGCCTTGACCTTCAAAGGAAAACGCAACCTTGACTTGCAGATGGTTTGAATCAGATTAGATTTTTTTAATCTAAGCAATTTAAAATTGTTTAGTGTTATGTAATTACTTGCACATGGATGTGTATCCTTTGTGTTGCATGCTTCGACATGAAATTTTTTGTAAAGTGCCAAAGTGGAGAGGGATGGAGTAAGATAGACTAATATTAATATAATTACTTGCTGACCAACTTAATTAAATGTGAGTGGTAAGAGCTCTTGTTACTAAGTAGTTAGAGATTTGAATCTCAATCCTTGTATATGTACCAATTTAGTTGAATGAGGTTTATTTTTTCATTTTTTGCCCTCAATAGTCTGGGAGAGATAACTTCAACTATCAGCGGGGTTTACCTCTTGTGCTTACCAAAAAAAATATAATTATTTGTTGAGACCTTAGCTGCAAATGGTTATTTTTGTGCCAAAGTGGTATGATAAGGTATGATAAATATTCCTGTTGTGAAGGAAGTAATTTGGTCAGAAAATAGCTTGTTAACAAAGGGGAGACAAAAGCGTATTCTATATAATATAAAATTTTGAACAGGTCGCATTGTAAGTGATAATAGAGTTAATATTTGTGCAATTCCAATTTTCATGTTAGAATAGGTCAGTGTAGGTTATAGAAATTAAAAGAGACAGGTACTTGGATCTTGCTCTTTATTTTACGTACTAAACAGGTTTGTGCCTTCATGTTTGACGTAGGCGGGCCATGCATTGCATGCTGATCTGGTACGCCGCTTAATAGGAGCTATTTGAAGGCAGATATGTGGTCTCTGGTCTCCAAACTTTTATTGTTGGTGAATTTGTTCCGCAGCTTAACGTGAATTCTTGAAGCTCCTGTTTTAACCAAAGTGCTTGTGGAGAAGACATGCTGAAATATCCACAGACGTTTCGTGATATCAAAAGGCAATGCATTGTAGAAAGCTGATTAACGTCGCTCTTATTCTTACTCATTGTTAGCGTTATATGGCCCTGATTCTTGATAAGTAGTATGTGCAGGCATTAAACCATCCTTGTAAATGATAACTAAATGTCTAACTTTCCTGCAGTCTTCTATTTTCAAGTTTAGAATTGCAATTTTACTTAAATCTTCTTTTTCTTAGTTTGGTTAACTTATTTTATGGCCACCGAAATTAATCACTTTCACTAAATTTTTTTCACGCAGTTTGACTATAAAATAGTGAACTTACGTATTAAAATGTTGATAGCACGAGACGTTTTGGGATTGACTCGAGATTAATCACTTCCACTAAATTTCTTTCTCGCAGTTTGACTATAAAATAGTGAACTTACGTATTAAAATGTTGGTAGCACGAGACTTTTTGGGATTGACTCGAGATTCATGTTTTTTTCACGATTTAGCCTGTTTACTGCTGCTATTGCACCCTGTATGCTTGTCCTCTGAGTTGTGGGGAGGGCTCCTTTTTGTTAAAGGAGCATAGTGCAAGGGAGGCAATATTAGGATTTTTTTTTTTTTAAGTAACCAAGTTTGTTCAAAACATTTTCAGAGGATAACTGCTTTTAAACTTTATAAGCAACGGTTTTCTGATGTAATCATTATTTGACATTTTCTTTATATTTAATTTTTTCTAAATACAATAATCATTTGCATCCTCAAGTATCACGTTGCACAAGCCCATTTCTCTTTAGGTCGTCTTAGGCACCATAAATTTAAACTATCAAATTCCATAAAACTTTATCGATGGAAACATGTGAATATGGAAAACATAAAAAAAATTGAAATTTGAGGTACATATGTTCCAAATAACATAAGATTATTTGTACTATTTTTTGATGGTCATGGTTGACTACTAAAATTTTTATAAATAGGTTCCCCAAAGAATGACAACTAAGTCACTTTGTTTAGCCTGAAACAATGAGGTTTAGTACAAAAGTGTAATGAGTAATGCATATTCCAATCAGGTTAAGGATGATCAGATACATGAGTGAGAGAAGCGCTGGACAATATAACTAGACATGCACACGATCTAAGAAAAACAAAACATTGCTGCTATTTTAAATGGACAGTGACGATAATAAGGCTTTGTCTAATTGTTCAATTCAATGCAAATGGATTTCATAATTCACCCATTTGAAGATCCGTTCCTCTTGATCCCTCATGCTCCATTGCACACGCACGTCGGAAAAAAGTGCTCTCAACAATTAACTTATAATGTTATGCTCAAGCCAACACTCATCCAAACATCTTTTGCTGATTCATATAATCATATACTTCACAGCTGAAATGAATAGGGGAGCTCACTGCCACTCTATGTTTCTCTTAAGTCCAAATTCTCCATCGCTGATAATATTCTCCACGCAAGCTTTTCATCTACTGCTTCCCAAAAGCAGCAAAAATACACAGCTTCAGTTGCAGCCAGGGGAGTTTCCTGAATCCTGTACGGACAACAATCCTTTAGACAAACAGAGATATGAAATGAGTCCATTTGTAGATTTTCCCCAAAATTTTGGATATTTCCTCCAGATAGTTCACCATTAAGCTTTGAATGTAAGATTTGAAGGCAAGAACCTCTGTCGCTTTTACTTAGGATATCTATTGCGTCATTGATACGTACAGGACAGCAATAAGCAAATCGAATATCATGTTTCCTTTCTCCCAACTTGTGTAAAAGCTCGTCTTCGTGTACAGCCTTTGCTTTTTTGCTTTTCTCTAATACTAAAATTCCTTCTGCTACTCTTTCATCCTTAACTTGGAGATGAGGCATTAAGCTTCGGTCTGTCAAACATGAGTCAGACGTATCTACTGAACTGCATTTCTGAGGTTTGGAGCCTGGATTTTGGCAACTTTGAGCATAAGGGACAGGGGCTCCTGCTGAACTACATTTCTGAAACTTGAAGTTTGGATTTTGGCAGCTTTGAATAAAAGTGTCAGAGGCTTCTGCTTTAATATAGTGACATGAAGGGATGCATACGGTTTCATTATTTGCAGGATCATAACACTGAATCCCCAACTCAGAATGAATTTTTTCTTTAAGAGAAGCCATCTTAGGCTTCTCTCCATGAACGAGTATAACGTGCTTAGGGGAGAGAAATTTCATGAGATCCATTATACCTTTAGCGTCAGTGTGAGGACTAAAAGCCAGTTGATGAACCTGTCAATTCAATAAATAATTGTATTTTAGAGACTAAATTAACTGACAAGTATAGATTCCATACTACTTGCCTTAGATAAATAACCGAAGAAACGAATTATATGTCTCCAGTGACAAAAAATGAGGCAATTTCAAATGTAAAAATGAAAAAGAAGAATTTACTCTATAAGGTAACAAGAAGGTTTAGCAAGTTTGGGGTTTATAATTTGTGATCGGGAAATTAGGATAATTTTTTGTAGGTTATAAGTATTGGGGATTTTGTTTGGATCTTTCGGACATGCTACCCCAAGTTGGATAAACATTATATTTCCTATTTTAGTTCAATAGATGGCTAACTAGTTTGCATATTTGGATATATCATCCACAGTAGGATTCATATATTACATCTCATTTTAAAATAGGAGTTCTTGAGTCTTTAAGTTGAAATTGCTTGTCCTAGTTGACCTAAAGTTGTTTGAGACTTTGAGTGAGTTGGCCCTGATAGGTCCACTCACGCAGATGGACTTCCCGCAGCATTGCACAGGGCGCCATTGGAGAGGGAAAGATGGAGAGCCTCCAACGTTGAATGCTGCCTAGCCCCATACCCACTGGTCTATTGCTCTTTAGTTGCATGTTGTACTTTTACTTTTAAGTGCAGAAGATTCAGATTGGTCCACTAGTTTATCTTAGGGTTTTATTTTTTATTTTTTATTTTTTTTGTCCAACAGAGATTTAACCTTTTACCGTCAAATTTAAACATGAACATTGTGAGCTTCTCAGAATTGTTCCTGTTTCATGTTGTCCATGTTAATATTGTACTTTAACCTATTCTGGATCACATAATTCTAGACGACTGAAATTTTCAAATAACTCACATATTACGCTGAAGACTACTCTGGTTTTTGTTCATGATTCACTCTCTGCCTCAAAAACTTAACTGCGTTGATTGCAGTTAACAGTAATTGAGATTGAGAGAAGCAGATACACAATAACGAGACAGCTAACTATAACAGCACAAGAGCCAAGACGACTTTAAAGAGAGAGCTAACAGTTTATTCATTATGCCAGGTTTCTGGAAGGAAGTGATGTGAAGTTGTGAACAAGAGTAAGTCTGGCAGGTACCCTGAGGCCACCAACTATCTGTAACCATGATAGCCAACAAGACCCAGTGCTTGCTTGGAAACTGCTTAATTTACATGTTTTAAACAACCTTCTTATTTGATAAATAATTTTACCAATGTCAATGGTTTTTGGCCTATCTCAGGAAAGCAAAAATTTACTGTCAAATCAATCTATCAATATATGATATAAAATCTAGGGAGAATCACATCTAAAGACCATTCAAGGAAATTATTCACAAACAAAGACCAATATAGAATGGATTATTGTAAAAATAGGAACGTGACTTGTTTTTCCTATATTGGTCCTTCTCTGTGAATAATTTGCTTGAATGGTTCTTGAATGTAATTCTCCCTAAAATCTATAGCAAGTTGCATTATTCACAAGCTATAAATATGCTGTTTACCTTAGACTCCATGCCATACATAGACTCATGCTTAGTTACTAAAATGATATACTTCTACAAGGTTCAACAATAAGTCCAAAAGGAAATATTTTTAGCCTTTGATTCTGCTTCAAAGGAGAACTCTGGCAACAGAAAAGTAGTTATGTTATCATTTAAAACTAAACAAACATGAAATCCTAAAAAATCAGTATATTTCCTTTTTTTAAAAACTTTTTTTTATCTTCAACAGATGGGCCAACCAGGCTCTCAACAAGTTAAGCAGCTTTGTTCACCCAGCTAAAGGGAAAACCAAGTTTACACGACCTCTGTCAAGTTAGGGGGGGGGGGAGAGAGAGTCACTCTCAAGTCACATCAGATGCAAACTTATCCAATGCAACCTTCAAGAAGTGGCTTGACTGATATAATAAGTTGGGTTAAGTAATTATTTACAAGATAATATAAGTGCTTTTGAAAAAGATATGGTTTCCCAAAAGAAAAGGGGTAGGAGTTAACAATGTACCCGGCAACGCACATCTATCTGTGTATCTTGATCCAGATCAATTTTGGTAGGCTTACCTGACATCAACTTATGCCCTATTGTTCCAGCAACACAATACCTACAAGAGAAACGAAGTAATTGATTAATGGAAAGTGACACCTTCATAGAATATGAGAACAAGACTTTCACATGTTTTTAAACTGAAGAAGCTCAAAATTCCAGGTCGATGGCTCTAACTTCAAATGGCATAATGTGGTTAATCCCTTTTTAAGCATTTCTTCTGAAATTTGTTTGCAACTTGAAATGCCAGCCATGCAGATCAGTTGACCTGAGTTTCATTATTTCAGGGTTTAAAATATATAACAGATTAACAAGATATTATAGGGTTCGAGTGGCTGTTTCCTGTGTACTACTGTCTATGCGCCATGAGAATAAATTGCTTAAATATCTTTTGTGTAATATCATTGAATCATGTAGGAAGGAAAGAATAAACAACATGGCTCACAAATCCTTTTGTTTCTATCTTATTTGTTTAATAATAATTAATAAATAAGAATTCTTAAAATGTAACAAAAAATAATATTTAATTTAAAAATTATTTTTATAAAAATGTGGTCCACAGGCCAGCCCGTTTTGACGGTAAACAAATATCCATCGTTGGCTTCTCATGTTATCAATTGAAAAAACAAATAGGAGACAAAAACAGAGGAGGAGGAATGGGGGCGTACCCAGGCAACGTGACAAGGTTCTTCTCTGAAGGTGCCCAATGCTTAAATACTTCAAGTGAAAAACCACCACTTATCATCCCAGGGGTGGCAAAAAGAACACAAGGACCAGGGTCATTTATCATAGACCGTTCAAAATTGTGAACTGAAATATCCAGATCTGATGGATGAGAAACGGATGACAAAATCCAAGCAACCAAGAATAACTTCATATATGTAAAATCATCGATTTCATATGGGATGATATATGTAAGAATACAACATGCTTTACAGTAGTTCAACATAGTTAACAGATATGGAGCATAACTTACAAACATTTTCACGATACTAAAGGCCTAATACCCATTTGCTACAAGTTTTCAAAGCTCCAAACCCCACCTGATGGATTTGATGACAATGATTGGGATATAAGATTAGCATTATATGAAAAAATACATGGAAATCTCTCACTATTCCTCTTGCCTGGGAAAGAGGAATACACAACAATACCAACATGAAAGAAAAATAAATCCTTGATGCCCAAGAACCATTAAATTGAAAAATACACAATAATACCAACATAAAAAACAACTAAAATCAGAAACATGTATTCTGCTTATTTTCAGCCATTGGTTACCTTTTTATTCTTGTATCACTAACAACTCCACTTGAAAGACCTATTCATTAAATTTTGAATTTGTGACGATTTAAATGCAATTAAGTGGGTGATATTCTTTGTAAAAGGCAGACATTTTATTTCCTTTCCCCCACTAATGTTTCATCCCCTGCTTTTGCAATCATAGCATTTAATCTTGGAGAATAAGGGCCGATAGGCCTCATTCTAATCTTGTTCACAACATTAAGTCTTGATTTTTGAGAGAGTAAAGATTCGAGGGCTCATTTCCTCCATGGGTCAAAAAGCAGCATTATCAATATATCAATCAATTTTTACTAATCTATATATATATACGTATATATATAAACCAATACATAATGTAAAATCTATAGCAAACCATACTATTTATAAGCTATGAATAATATGGCATGTTCCTTGGACTCTGTGCACTCCTATTTCACATACCATTTAAAGTATTAAACCGTCAATCCATATCTCTTCTTACTAAGCATTGTGATCTATGAAAGCGATCAGACTGGACACCTCCATTCTACTTCAATCTGATAAAATTTGGCTCTTCATCTAAAATACCTTAATCATATATCGGAATAATTTATTTATCTCAATTTTAAAAGTTTTATACTTATCAATATCAAAATAGAATGTATAATCTATAACAAGTTGCATTATTAAAAAGCCATAAACAGTGCAGCTCATTCCTCATATCTGTATAATACACAGAAAAGAGTGTCCGATTAGATATAAAGTACTGTAATCTCTAACCATAGAAAGGGAACAATGCCAGGAATCTGTAATCACAACATCCCAATGCAATATAATTGTTAAAAATCTTCACGCCAGATGAAAACATGCACAGATGCACATGCATGCTCAGATTTTTTTTTTTTTTTTTTAATCAAACACGTGCATGTATAACATACAATATGATACTTCCAAGACAAGAAATAAATTACCATGCTTAAAATCAAAAGCATTATGGGTAGAATAAGAATCTTTAATCTTCTGGCTTGTCCAACTAATGAGCATCTTATAATACATATTGGCTTGGATTGTCAAACCTTAAAGAAAACAAATTCAAATAGTTAGTGCTAAACTGCTAATATGAAGAATCACTACCAACAAATATTTGGAGAAAAACCACAGGAAAGATCGACTGGTCAAGAAGCAGCAGAACTTATGTGTAATGCATTACCATAATCTTAGTCTTTAACACAAGACATTGCACAGTTTCCACAAAGGCATGGAGTGCAGGATATGGATAATAGGCATTTTCTGAAATAAGTTATAATCAATTTTTGTAGCGTGCATTGGGTAGAAACTGCTTATGATGACACCTTTTAGCAATCACATATTTGAGGCAAAGGAAACAATGTTATTATAGGTTTTTCTTGACAAAATCAAAGACAAAAGTGGCGAATAAAATGACATGTCATTTTTTATGTACAAATTTAAAGATTATAGTGGCGGAGGTCTAATCTACGAACAAACTTTCTATATGGTTTAAACTTCACAAGACTTAGGAACATGCTAGCATATAGCGTGACTGCATGCTGAGCAAAGTTGGAGCTGTCTATTTGCAGTGAACATGAATTTCATCAGAATTTTTTCTTTGAAGATTCTATAATTCAAAATTTCAAATGCCTATGACTTTTACTCTGTCTTTGAGGAATATCTTCTAAAATTGGAATGGTACAGAAATTTGAAAAGCCCTTGAGTGTTATGGCAAACAAAAATTGATAAATGGTCTAAATTATTTAAAACAGACAAGTAATTATTTGAAATTGACGTTTGGCAAGATAGAGATGACGCACAGGAAGAACCAAGAGCCCATGCTGTTCTTGCCGCTTTTAACCAGAATGGTGTGACAAAAATAAAATAAATACACAAGAGAGAAGGAAAATTGCCCACAAAAGTTTGACCAATCTCAGACCTAGTTGTTTAAGCTTAAAAAATACGTTATTTTCATGTTGTTTAGGGATTTAAGCCATTTATTATTTAAAGACTTCATGAAAAGTAGAATAGCTTTGGAAATCTGATTTTTTTAAAGATTCTTATTATTTTTAAAATTTCAAATAAACATCCTGAAAGTTTTCAAAAGTGCTTTTTAATTAAAAATGCTAAAACAAACAGGCATCCCAACAAATCAAGAAACAAAAGGAATCATAGAATATCATAATATTGGAATAACAAAGGAAATGAATCATAGTCATAGATATAGCTGACTAGAGAAAACTAAGAAATAAAATAATACAATCATAACCAACAGCAACATCAGAAGTGGATGATTTTCACGTGCTCAATATGTGAAAAGAAAGAAAAGTGGAACCTGCTGAAAAATATATAGGAACTTTCAAATTCATGCGATCCCAGTAGTCATCCAACAAAATGCATAATTCCTACAGATCAAAAATAAATTTGAAAACTATATTGAATTAAAAATATGACTTCATACATTAATACCAATAAAATATCAAAGAAAAAATGGAGGCTATATATAGACTTTGACTAAACAGATGTTACATTTTTGTTTTGCAAAGTAAATAAAAGGAATTGGATTTGTTGTAGAAAATTGAAGTATAGCAAAAAATTTGGCTGAAGCTTTTGACAAAGCATGAAGATAAAACACAAGGTATATATTAAGATAAGTGGACATAGCACCTACTAAGAGAAAAATGGTAAAAAATCGTTTAAGATGGTTTGGACATGTATAAAGACAGTCACGGGAGGCATTAGTGAGGAGAGTGCAATGGATAACTTTGAACCTTATTAAGAGGAATAGAGGAAGGCCAAAGAGAATACTTTTGGAAGTTGTTAACCGAAACCTCTCAGTTAACAACATTTCTAAAAGTTTAATGAATAATAGAGCACAATAATGTCGTACAATCCATATAGCCAACCCAACCTAGTGGGATAAGGCTTCTTGTTGTTTTATACTGTTTATTTCTTGTAATAATGTGTATATCTAGAATTTTTGTATGCTATACAATAATCAGAAATTTGAGCATTCTGCATTTCCCTTTATCCTCTAAAATAAAAGCTAACAGAAGTCTGTAAGAATATCTTCAGAAGGCAAATACCATGAGAAATTTAACATTAAGGCTCCATTTTTTCAAAAAAACAAGTCCTCTCGGAAAATTTTTCTTAAAAAAGTAGGTGCATGACAAAATTCTTCTTGTTTGGTTAATATGAAAAATTTCCCCAAGCATTTCAAATATGAAAAAATAATGTTGATATTCTAACACTTAAATGCGTGTCAACCACACATAAGGTTGTTATCAATGTCAATGCCTGACACACCGATTATTAGATGTATCTGCTTGATCTATCACAAATAAACTCTGAATTTCATCACCAAATATGCAAAAGATACAATAGCTGCTAGAACTTTGTCCAATAGTTGAAAGCCTATGAAGTCAAAAATTACAATCAGCAAAATTAATAATCATTTTAGAAAATGTACCTGAGCTCTTCCAAGAGCAAATGTTGGAATAAGTACCTTCCCTCCATTAGAAACACATTTATGAACCTAAATCAATCAATTAAAAAAAACTTAACACCCAGGATGACAGTTACTGTAAAATGTAAATCATGTGCACTTGGACAAAATGCAAAACATGAAGTAAAATAAACACCAGCAGAAATTTTTGTGAATACAATGCTAATTCAATTTGTAGCTTAGACACACATGATAGTAGGCCAAACTAAGTGAAAATAACTCCCATTTAGAGTATTATTAGTTTTTTACAACATGAAGACAAGAACAGTATTAACACACATTTAATTTAAAGTGGATGCTGCTAAATACATACAGCTTTAAGGAATTCCCTCTCACGGCTATATCTTGAATCCCGTATTGTAGTTGCATATGTGGATCTGCAACAGAAGAATTTTTTTTTTTTTAAAAAAAGTTCTATCCAAGCTAAAGCCATCATAAAAATGGAATCGGAAAACCTAAAATTGTTTTACATATTTGAAATTTGTAGATGGCCAAATGCTCAAAATTATACTAAAAAAAATTAAGGAGAATACTTAGGTCCATTTGCTCATGTCCATGACAACCAATTCTTCAATCAAATCTCAACACTTGGGCGTTTGAGATTTGATTGGAGAATTGGATGTGATGAAAATAAGCAAACGAACCTAAATTTTGTCCAAAACTTAAATATATATTACTTTCAATTTCAAAACTCAGCACATTGTTAATAAAACTTCATAGCATGTGATATATATTCAAATTAGATATGGACAGTGTCAAAATTCAGATATTAATGACAGTCCTAAATTGTAAAGAATGCAGACTGAGAAGCTCACAGCAATTTCTCACGTTTTGCATACCATAATGCAATGAGAAGGATTAGTTCAAAATGTTTTAGGCTGGCAATCAGCCACATGTTTTGTCATCTTGAAAGGAATTCTCACAATTTGTCTTTGCCATAAAGTAGCCAGTATATTTGGCATCCTACTTTTGAACACGCTGATCAACCATATCTAATGGTCTTGATATTGGACAGTTAGCCTGGCTTTCTCCTTTACTCAACTACTCAAGGAATTATTCCTAAGAATAAGGTGGTTTAAATCTTTTCATGTGACGAGAGACGTAATTTTTCGGTACTCTTATACCGAAAGAATAAGATATAAGACTTCTTGTAGGTTACTGAGACATACAATATTTGGTAAAAGATTTTCTTTTTCTTTTTTTTTTGGACTATTAGGTTGTGGCTCATCATGAAAACTATCCACTCTCTCTAATATAAATAAAAATACATATTAGAACATAAATCAATCGGTATGAGGATCATAGAGAATTTTCAATACCATCCTTGAATATGAATCATGAAACCTAACAGAAAAACTTACCATCCCTATAGCCTCTACTAAAAGATTGCCAACGCCATTATAAGATGCATTCACACAAGATATAGGCATTCTTACTCAGTTATAACAAGGTCAAGTCGTAAACGATCAATTTGAGCTGCTCCAAGGTGTCTGTCTGGTGTCATGTTGTAGTCACCTGTATAAACCATTTCTGCATCCCCCACCTTTACATAGAACATAGCCGCTCCAATTACCTAATCAAATTACATAGGAGAGATGATTGGCTGAGAATAGCATCAAAAAAACTAAATTATAGTAAGAACAAACAAAATCCTATTCCATTCACATTGATCACATAAGGAAAAATGTGGGAGGGTGGGGTAGGGGCAAATATATCACCAGATAAATGAGAAAATCACATGGCACAGAACTCTACTACATTGCACAACTAGTAGTGCTGAGGTTGGGTTATCAGGCAAGATTTGTTACATACAGATCAGTCTTATTGTGACATACGGCTGCAACAAGTATTGATAAAAATGCCATTGTGCTCCATCAGCAACCTTTCAAAGGAGAATATTCAGACAAATTCCCCATTATTATTGTGACTAGGTCAACTTGTAAATCATAAATCTCCTGTTATTTTGCCTGACAATCTTGTAGGATTTTACAATCCAAACTCTATCTCAACTCATTTTATTTAAAAACGAAAATGTGGGGCAAAGCAGCATATAGAAAAGAAACAGTTGTCTCCAGGACCTAGCCAACCGTTCTCAAATTCAAGGTGGAAAGCAAGGAAAAAAAAAATACATAATAAAGATAGCATAATACATGGAAATGAAAAAGGGGAAAAAGTTGATATGATACTAAAACCCCGTGTGATATACAAAGGGTAAATCAGAAAATGAATGAACTCATAATGAGCCCATAATCATGATATTCCAAAACTCCCCCTTAAGCTAGACAATGCTTAGACCAAATTTTACCAACTCTCACCATGTTGTCATTCACGACCCTTTGTCTTCTTGCCTTTACCTGTACGGAATTTGGGCCTCCATTACTCAATCCTCCCGAAGGAGAGAGATCTTGGTTTTCTGCTTAATTTTACTTTGTACTGACAGTTGATTTTGGACATCATCTCAGAAATCTTGGCTTATTCATAACCTTTAAGGGATGCTTATTTTTGTTAACCACTGATGTGACCGTGAGATATGGTCAGACTTATAAGAGGAGATCAAGGGGGGCAGTTGGGTGTAGAAAGGAAATACCCATTGGGTCAGGATTAATATCTTGGGGGTCTAGAAAAGAAGGATTATGCCATGATGTTTTGGTAGGGTGGCTTAGATTTAGTCTCAATATTAAAGTCACCTTTTTGCTTGCTTTATTTGGCTGTATTATTTTTGTTGGCACTCAAGGATGTTTTAAAGAAGTTAGACAAAAGTGAGGAGAGTGCTGGTCTCTCAAACACCAGTGAGAGACCTTTTCTTGTTGCTGTGTTCTTTCATTTGGTTTGTAATTTCAGTTATAGGGAATAGGGTTTTGGCTAGAATCAATGAGTTTCTCTTTGTAACACTGATTCGGTTCATATGCATTAATATCAAAACCTCAGAATTTCCCTCATTTATTTCTCTTTGCATTAAAAGCTTGGTTCTATTAGTTATTTTAGAGCAGAGCTCTATCATTTGGCATCAGAGCCGTGCAATCCTCGGACCCTCTAATAAGTGCAAGAGAGATGGCCGAAAGAGTGCAGTACTCTAACCCCGAGGTACACGAGTTGAAAGAATCTGTTGGAGGACTATCGAAAGAAATGACCATGATGAAGGAGATGATGCAAACGATGCAAGACAAATTAGAGCAAATAGCAGAGAAACAGAAAAGTGCAGACCAACCTCCTGAACAAGATCAACCCAGCCATGAAGAGACTACAGGAAGCACCGAAGATCATGAAAAAGAAGTAGGGAAGTACAAGAAGCTGGAGTTACCAATATTTGATGGAGAAGACCCTATCGGGTGGCTTTTCAGAGTGGAAAGGTATTTTCGAATCAATACAACAACAACAACAACAAGCCTTTATCCCACTAGGTGGGGTCGGCATATTTTCGAATCAATGCTGTGGCTAAAATGGAGAGACTGGAAGCAGCCATCATGTGCCTCAAAGGTAAGGCTCTTAACTGGTATCAATGGGTAGAAACTCGAGCACCTATCCGAGAATGGTCAAAGTTCAAGTAAGAACTTCTGCGTCGATTCCATCCCTCACAACTTGGGGATGAGTATGAGATGATGTTTGTAGTCAAACAGGAGCGTTCTGTGCGCGAGTATGTGGAAGAGTTCGAACGCGTATCAGCTATGGTGGGAGACGCATCAGAATCGTGTGTGGTTGGGACATTTCGTGTAGGACTAAAACTAGAGATAAGGGCTGAATTAAAGCTCACGGCCGCTAGTACCCTTAAAGAAATTATGGAGATGTCTATTAGGGTGGATGAGAGGAATCAAGTAATAGAGAAGGCCAAAGACTCACGGTTTCTGCGAGGCCAGCGTTTTCAAAGTGGGCTTAAAAATGAATCAGCCCAAACTCCTTTCACACGGATCACTCATGTGGCTGAGCCCAGTAAAAGCACGCACACCTCTTCAATACACTGGGGACTCCAAAAACGGGCTAAGACGAAAACGGCAGACTCAAAAGTGGCGAGCAACACGACAGGAACAGCGTCGTCGCATCCAGGGGGATGAACCCAGCGACTTTCAGATGCTGAATTAACTCGTCAGCGAGAGCTCGGTTTGTGTTTCAAATGTGTAAATAAATTTGGACCTAATCACATCTGCAAAAATAAAAATCTGCAAGTAATGTTGCTAGAGCTAGAGTCCGAGAAGGGAACCGAAGGCCATGAACCAATGTGCACTGAAGATAGTGAAGAGGCCGAAGAAGATGAAACTCGAATGGAGTTATCACTAAACTCCATAGTTGGGTTTGGAGGAAATCAAACTATGAAAGTACATGGGAGACTAGAGGAAGCCGAGATTGTGATTTTGATTGATAGTAGGGCTACCCACAACTTCATAGCTGAGGAATTAGTCACCAACATAAAAACTCCAGTGGAGGACACCGTCTACTCTATCACTGTTGGGGATGGGTTTAGTATTAAAGGGAAGCAACGCTGTAATGACCTCAAGTTACAGGTACAAGGCCTGGACATTATTCAAACTTTCTACCCCTTTCCACTCAGTGGCGTGGATGCTGTACTAGGAGTTGAATGGTTAAAATCTTTAGAAGAAGTGAAGGTTAACTGGGGGCAACTGACCATGAAGATTGGTAAGAAAGGAAACAAGGTGTGTTTACAAGGTGATCCTGCTTTAACTAAGGCCTTGGTTTCCCTTAAGTCATTTATTCGATCCGTCCAGAAGAGAGGGGAGGGGTACATTATCGAATATAATGGGATGAATATTGAAGAAACAACAGCTAAAACTATACAATTGGCACTTGAAATTCAGAACCTCCTGGACCAATTCCCTATAGTTTGTCGACCTTTTGAAGGGTTACCACCAACTCGTTCTCATGATCATGCAATAGCAACCAAACCAGGAGAACAACCTCCTAACATACGGCCATATCGGTACCCTCATGTTCAAAAAAATGAAATTGAGAAGATGGTGAAAGATATGTTGAGAGCAGGTATCATCCGGCCCAATCAAAGTCCTTATTCAAGTCCAGTTTTGTTGGTTAAGAAAAAAGATAAAAGCTGGAGATTCTGTGTGGACTATAGAGCCTTGAACAAAATCACGGTGCCTGACAAGTTACCCATACCGGCTATAGATGAGTTGTTGGATGAGTTAAAAGGAGCTGCCATCTTCACCAAGCTGGATTTGAAGTCCGGATACCATCAGATTAGAATCATGGCTAGAGATGAACATAAAACAGCATTTAGAACCCACGAGGGACATTATGAATTCAAAGTAATGCCCTTTGGTTTAACCAATGCTCCTTCCACATTCCAATATTTAATGAATGAGATATTCCGAGAGCATCTTCGGAAATTTGTACTTGTATTTTTTGATGACATACTTATTTATAGCCATGATTTAACATCTTACTTGAAACATTTGAAAGCTGTTTTGTCTATCCTGAAAGAGAACCAGCTAGTGATCAACCTTAAGAAGTGCACTTTTGCCCGACCAAAAATTGAATATCTTGGGCATATCATTTCCAAGGAGGGAGTGCAAGCGGATCCCAGCAAAATTGAGAGTATGGTGCAGTGGTCTAAACCCAAGAATGTGAAATCCTTAAGAGGGTTCCTAGGGTTGACAGGGTATTATAGAAGATTTGTCAAGAATTATGGAAAAATCGCTAGTCCTCTCACTGATTTACTTAAGAAAGATGCCTTTAAATGGACCCCAAAAGCTGAAGAAGCCTTCCAAAATCTCAAGACAGCCATGACTTCTCTTCCAGTACCGGCTATGCCTGATTTTTCTATCCCGTTTGAGTTGGAAACAGATGCTTCTGGGTCTGGAATAGGAGCAGTGCTGATGCAGAATGGCCGTCCAGTGGCATATTTCAGCCAAAAGCTCTCCAACTGCGCTCAACAATGTTCCATTTATGAGAGGGAACTTATGGCAATTTTTATGGTGGTCAAGAAATGGTGACACTACTTATGGGGGGAGAAATTTGTCATCCGGACAGATCAGAAAGCTTTGAATTTTCTGCCGGAACAGAGAATTGTAGAAGAAAGTCAACAGCACTGGATCACTAAATTAATGGGGTTCAAGTTTGAAATAGCTTACAAGCCGGGCAAGGAAAATCGTGCAGCGGACGCACTTTCAAGGAAAGAAGAAAATCTGGAGATACATGGTTTTTCTTTGTGGCAGCAAGGTGACCTTGAAGAATGGGAGAAAGAAGTACATGCTGACCCCAAGTTAAATGATATACTGTAAAAAGTCATTACCAAGCAAGGAAATTTAGAGGGATACAGCCTTGTGAAGGGTTGTCTACACTATAAAGGACGATTGGTGCTACCAAAGAAGTCTACCAGGATTCAATTGCTCATGAAGGAATTTCATGATTCACCAATCAAAGGCCATTCGGGTTATTTGCGCACTTACAAGAGGCTCTCTACTGTTGTATATTGGGAAGGCATGAAAAAAGATATCCAACAATATGTGTCACAGTGCGACGTGTGCCAAAAGAACAAATATCAAGCATTAACTCCAGCTGGGCTGTTACAACCCTTGCCGATTCCTCAACAAATTTGGGAAGATATTAACATGGATTTCATTACAGGACTTCCAAAATCTAAAAGACATGACGTCATACTTGTTGTTGTTGATAGGTTGACAAAATATGCCCACTTCTTGGCTTTGACCCACCCATTTACAGAAAAAGAAGTTGCTGAAATCATTAATGACATTGTTAAATTGCATGGGTTTCCAAAAACAATTGTGTCAGATAGGGATAGGGTGTTTGTAAGTCAGTTTTGGAAGGAATTATTTAAGCAAGCAGGCACTCAGCTTTGTCTTAGCTCTGCTCAACACCCGGAATCTGATGGCCAAACCGAAGTCTTGAACAGGAGCTTAGAAACTTATCTGCGTTGCTTCACCAGTGAGAAACCAACCCAATGGGCACAATGGTTACTTTGGGCTGAGTATTGGTACAACACATCTCATCATGGGGCTGCTGGAATTACACCCTTTAAGGCGGTGTACGGACGGGACCCTCCTACTTTTTTTAAGCTGAATGGGGAACCATTAGGCATTGAAGCTGTCAATGAACAGATTCAGTCCCAGAATTCCATTATTGCCATTTTAAGGGAAAACCTCACTGTGGCGCAAGAAAGAATGAAGAAGCAAGCTGACAAACATAGGCGAGAGGTACAGCTGGACATTGGAGATTTAGTTTATGTCAAAATCAGACCCTACAAGCTGAAATCTTTAGCTAAAAGACTTAATGAGAAACTCGGCCTCATTCCTATGGACCCTTCAAGATCATAGAGCAGATTGGAAAGGTCACATACAAGCTGGAACTTCCTTCCACAGCTCGCATTCACCCAGTCTTTCACATTTCTCAACTCAAAAAATCAGTTTGTTCAGCTATTGTCACTCCTACTATACCACCAGCACTTTCTGCAGAATTGGAGTTACAGGTACAGCCTCAAGACATATGCAAGGTTCGGAAACTTATGACAGGCCAGCTGGAGGTTTTAGTGAAATGGAGAGATTTACCCGAGTTTGAGAATTCATGGGAGACAGCTGACACCATTTCTCTCCAATTTCCAGATTTTCCCCTTGAAGACAAGGTGAGACTCTTAGAGGCGGGAAATGATGCGACCGTGAGATATGGTCAGACTTATAAGAGAAGATCAAGGGGGCAGTTGGGTGTAGAAAGGAAATACCCATTGGGTCAGGATTAATATCCTGGGGGTCTAGAAAAGAAGGATTATGCCATGATGTTTTGGTAAGGTGGCTTAGATTTAGTCTCGATATTGAAGTCACCTTTTTGCTTGCTTTATTTGGCTGTATTATTTTTGTTGGCACTCAGGGATGTTTTAGAGAAGTTAGACAAAAGTGAGGAGAGTGCTAGTCTCTCGAACACTAGTGAGAGACCTTTTCTTGTTGCTGTGTTCTTTCATTTGGTTTGTAATTTCAGTTATAGGGAATAGGGTTTTGGTTAGAATTAGTGAGTTTCTCTTTGTAACACTGATTCGGTTCATATGCATTAATATCAAAACCTCAGAATTTCCCTCATTTTTTTCTCTTTGCACTAAAATCTTGGTTCTATTAGTTATTTTAGAGCAGAGCTCTATCAACCACTAATAAGGGATTTATATTAATCACAAACAAATGGTTTTTGTTAAATGCCAACAGAACTTTTCCAAGCTTCATCTATGGTCTTAATTCAAAAAAAGACCCGAGAAATCATTAGAGGTGGCTAAGTCAATGGTTCTGGGAAATCAATGTTGGCCATTTAAATGCAATGAAAGGGTGTGTGACTTTATTCTCATTGTTCATGTCTGAAAAATGACTAGCCTTGCTTCCAGAGGTTGGAGAAGACATGATTTTGTTGTTCAGTGCAGAAACTCCATGAGAAGCTTCCGTCTTCTAAAAGTGGGTAGCCAAATGCTGGCCGGATTAGATCACTCAAAGTATACAAACCATAAGCTCTCACACCATGTAGAATTTTTGAAACTCAATGCATGTAGATTTTTGGAATTTAGAATTCTATTCTAAATCATTTCATTTAAAAAGAAGAAGAAGCAATACGTTGAAAGGAGATTGCTGACTCTAGGAAAACCAATATCAGAAATTGATGAGACGAACAAAGAAATACATACATTATATGGAGAGCATGATGCAGACGCTAGGGAAAAGGGAAAGAAGCAGGTTGACTATGCCGCTAAAAACTTGATGTATAACAGATAGTGAAAAAACAAATGAGCTCATGTAGCAATTTGACAATAATTATAATAATATTCTGTAAATATTAGAATTAAATAGGGCAGATCAGTCATTTATTTGTTTCCTTTTTTTTCTTCTTTTTATCCCTGATTTTTCAGCCTCTAAGTTAATGAGCCTGATTCTATTGTGCTGTATATATTTCTCCTCCTCCATTGAGACGAAAACGATTAGAGGAAAATATTCAAATACCACATGGCATCAGATTAAGCCCATAATCATGAGATTACAAAATATCTTTGATTCTTTTGAATGTATTGTGTTGCTATTTCCCCAGAGTGATTAGTTAACCACTAAGGCAAACACCTATTTAATGTATCCTTTGTTCTGTGTTTATGAAAAAAGATGATTTTAAAGAAACATCATCTCTGAAATTTTTCAATAATAGATTTGTCAACATAGTGAATGTGTGTGGATTTGCCAATATTACTTCTCCTAACTTTTCTGCCCATCAAATCTGTTTTTATTTCTTATATTACCTGCCTTTGATACATTCAGATGGCTTATCAGAAGTCATTCAATTTATTCTGATAATACCTAAGTTTTGATATATCAAAGTTGAGAGGGTTCTTTCCTTCCAGTAAAATTTATTTTCTCCTCAATTTCTGTTACTGTCTTTTATTTACCAAAAACATAACAATAAAGAAAACAGAACTTCTATTATGAAAATTCCACCACCTTATCTAGAACTAAATGTCTAAATCTATGCTACATATCAAACATGAATCTCAAAAGCCTTACGTGGCCTGCATAGTAGGCACGAATCTGAATATCTTCATCAACCTGCACAGTCTGCCTTAGATCCACAGCTACAACTGCACGCAAGAACAGAACCAATTTAAGATGGGTAATAAAAATGAGGTGCTATATTTAGGTAATTAGATAATTTGGAATGGCAATCTACAAGCTCAAAAGCATATTAAAGTAGCCCAATCACTTTGCAACTATGAGATTTATTCTGGGGTAAAATAAGAAAAAACTACACAGGTAAAGCCAGCCCCTTCATAAGCCCTAAAGTACTCAAATATGGTTTGGTAATACCGGACACTAAATAGTTATTTATACAAGCTATAAGCTTTAATAAGTGCGGAGATTACATAAAGATGAAGGATATGACATCCTCAAGCAAGAATGCAATTGAAGCCAGTTAGTATGGAAGAAGCTTTTTGCATCCAGAGAAAGACAGTGCAGGAACAGAAATGGAAAACAAAGGAGGAGAAAAAAAGAAAATAAAATCCAACATTACCTTTCTTCATACACTCAACGATATGGTCAGAAGTAAATTGTTCTTCTTCACCCCTACGATCAACCATCACTTTACGATAATCTTCCAACATCAAAGGAGCCAAGGCTTTTGTTGGGTACTTCATTCCAAATGGAATAACAAGCACATCAAATCAGTATATGTAAAGTAGAATTAGAATTCAGAAGCTATAGTTTATACATTATCTGAAAGGGGGGGACCATATAAGGAAATATAAAGAAATGACTTGATGAAACTAGACTATGTATTACTTGTACATAAAATGAATTATGGCTTCCTCTCCCCAGAACGGAGGAGAATTGAAACTTAACAGAATTGCAGAGTTGATGCAAATGAAAATAAAAAGCGCATAGCCTAATCCACTATCTGGCCTTTGAGAGGCCAGACCTACTCCTTTATTGTCTCACAAGTTCCATGACTCCTAAAATCCTCCCCAACCCCCCTGAGGATAATACTCACAACCAATGATTGCACTGTCTCTCTTCACATGCTACAAGACAAGGTTAGACATCCCCTGATTCCTTTCTTGCACCCTCTCTTTATAATATAAAGATTTACTCCAGTAACCTCTTTAGTGACACAGGGTCCAACGCAATTACAGCAAGGAGAAAAGAAATAAAAATTCATCACATTGTTTGAATATTTGAGGCACCAAATGAATTCAATTTTCGAAATCATATTGGCATCTCAACTCCAGTATTTGTGTCACCATTGACCAGAACAGCGACCAAGACATTAATGAATTAGAACATATTGCATCATAAGGAGTATTTAGGCAAACCCTATTTTATTATATATCTTTCCAAATTGTATTTAAAGTTTTACTTTTAATGACAAACTTAAGATAAAGTTTCACCTAGATAACTCCTAAGGAGTAGAAATTCTCTTAATTTACTTCTTTTTGGAGTTATGCAATTTGCATAGGAGAAGAGAACAGTGGTGATTTATCCGCTACATCCATAAAATACTGTAATATAATAAAAGCATGGTGCAAGATCAGTTTGGCATGAAACATGAAAGACTGCATTATCTTTTCTCTTATGGAATTTTAGCCTGGGTATTAACTAACTCGTAGATGTCAGAATAGAGAGGAAAGGAGAGAAATAGGACGAAAAAACTTAAAATGCCAAATTCATGGACACATGAATCAAATTCTAGAGAAAATTGAGGCAAATCTTTCATCAAGAATGAAAAAGAACTCACCGTCATATAAACAGGACCATGATAACCACAAACTTCCGTGAAATAAGGTAATGCTCCAACATGATCCAAGTGACTGCATATTTGCGAATGAATACATTGTCATGCCAAAAAAATCTCACCCAGATAGCATAGATGGAGAGTTTCTGTCATACAAATGAGTGATGATGATGCAAGAGAGAGCATTATCAAAATCTCCGAGCTTGGACATGAGAGAGAAATCAGGGTATCGGCGGTGATCCAAATAGCCCATGTGCATTCCACAGTCGAACATGATTCGCTTCCCATTGATGGTTACAACCACACAGCTCTTCCCAACTTCTTGCCCAGCACCTGCGGCAATAACCAACAATAACCTTTGAAGGAAGAAGTACAGGACTGAAATAAACAAAATAAAATAGAAAAGCTGGAGAAAATAAAGAAGGAAAACGAAAGAGCTTGATTACCCAGGATGAGACATTCTATGGCCATGGCTAGTGTTAAAAGGCGCAACCTTAGCTAAACGTCAAACTAACGGTGGCTAGAGTGAGGTCCTCCAGCGCAGTGGAAAGAGGCGCAGTGCCGTCCAGATTCTCTACAGGCCTTTCACTTCAGTTCTGTCCTGATTAACCCAAAGGCGTCGAATACAGTACAGCCCACTTCTTTGGCCAATCTCAATAGTTTTACCGTTTGGTTTCAACAGGTTTTCGATTTTTTGATCACCTTTTGTTTAAGCAAGTTCTGGGTCTGTTTGAGATCAAACTGGATATTTGTTGATATAAATTCGGCTTTCATAAGCTTTTTGACTCTGATCATTCACAATCAGACATCATGATGCTTTTATGGGCATATGTTTCTGGTTATATTAATAAGTTCTGATTATGATTTTAGTCTCTATCTCAAGCTTAACGTTCACACATAGACTGATCCCTGCCTCTTCATATATTGCAAACATAACGTGCGCGCAGGGTTGCCCGCGTTAAATCAAACAGGGGTAACGTGCGCGCAGCTTGTCAAGGAGTTCATCTGGTAGCCACAGTGATTCATCTTTTCAACGTTTCACCCTTGAAAATCTGAGATTTTGACAAGGCGCGCCTGCAACCACATGGGGGAAAACATAGGAAAAAATAATTAACTGTATGCAATTTGCTTGGTGCCTGAGAAATCAAAGGAAATCTAAGAAGAAAAAAATCCAAAGAAGTCTGAGCTCTAAAACATCTTTGCAAAATCCAAGAAGTTCATTTTCTCAAAAACTGACAAAGCGAAGCATATTCCAGGCTTGAAATCGCATAACAAACAAAAAGATACACAGGGATATAAAATCAAACACCTGACCTGCTCTTCTAGACCTTTGCAAACGAAAACTTTCAAAATAGCCACTTTCCCATATGTTGGGTTCTCCATTCTTGGTCTATATAAAAACTCAAATTAAAAAATGTGACTCTTATGAAAATTATAAAAAACATTTAGGTTCAAAATGTAATTTACTCAGGGCCTTAAAATATAATATTCTCCAACCTTTGGATTTGAAACATAGGCGCTTGGAGAAACTGTTACACATTCCCATAAGAGGTGGTTAAGGGTGCTATTTCAGTCAGTTCAGATTTTGGAGTCTCTGTGTGAAGAGAAAAACAGAATGCTCTCGATTTTTCATCGGTCTCATTTTTCTCCTTACAAGGTTTTTCTCTTAGAGAGTGCGTTTGTTGTGTACCCAAACGAAGTTCGACTAGTGTAACTTTGTTCCTGTATACGTACGTGTGAATTAACGACTCAAGGTATGTTTTTCTTCCTCTGTTTTTATTATTGGTATCAAAGCATTCGTCTTTCCTGGGCTGTGTTTCCTATGTCTAAAGAACTGATAATGATTTGCTTAACTCCATACATGCAAATCTTTAAATTTAGTTTTTTATTTTCTATTTACGCTTCAATCTTCTCTGTCTGTCTTTAAGATTATCACTATCAAAATGAACGTATTAATATGCTTCTTGGTTAATATGAATGTTCCTTATATTATGGCCATACACGTTTTACATGCAATCAACAGTGATGAGCACAATGACTGAAAATGAACCAAATAATGGGTGTTTAAAAAATGAGTTTTTGAACAAAAAAATTACATAAACGTGTAGAGCTTGAAAAAATGATGAAAATGACACCAAGAACGGGTAAAACAGAGACTGGACGGAGGAGATATGGCCTCCGGAAATTTCGAGTCCGATGGACCCGACCCATCGGAGGAACCGAGTCAAGTTGACCCGATTGGAGGAAGACGATGACAAAAATGATGCGTCGTTTCTGTCCTTGTCCAAACGACACATCGTTTTGACGTGTCGTAAAAAAAAAATCAGTTTCTAAGCTGCGAGCCCAGAAGCCCCAAACAAAAAAAAACTTAAGAAGGAGGTTAGATTTGGGCCTGCAAGCCCAACCCAAAAAAAACACAAAAACAAAAATAAATGGGTCCATGGGTCGAGTTCATCAACCCGACCCAGTTTAAAAAATTATATATATATTTTATTTAATTAAAAAAATATAAAATAAATATATATATATAAAGAGGACACGTGGTACATGGGACCCATTGACACACTCATTCAGCGTGTGGATGACCCCACCGTAAAGCTGGTGGCACGTGAAAGATTGTGGTCCAGCGTGTGTCGTCGTCGTAGGAGGAGGATAAGGCGACGCGTGTTGTGCACACGCCTTCCCCAAGAGTGGCTATATATTTTTTTAAGAATTTCTTGATCTAGCATATTCTTGGGGCGCGTGCAGAATCAGATTGGGACAAAACTAGTATTAAAAAATTCCTAAATTTAAGATCTTCATTTTGATATATAATTTGCATATTTTTTGAGATAGAACAAGAATTCATTTTTTGAGTTATCTAGTATTTTTTTATGAGTTTATTAAAAAAATATTTCTAAATTTTTTATTATTTATTTTTTTCAAAGAAAATATGAAGCAAGAGGCTTCTAGCAGCAATGATAACTCAGAAAATTATTCTGTCAATATTGAGTATCCGGATGAACCAGATTATGAACATCTTAGTGAGGATTCTGACTCGAAACCCTTCGAAGAGGAGGAGGAGGAATATGAACCTCAAAGTGAGGATTCTGATTCTGATCCTGAAGAAGATCACAATATTGATCTTGAAAATGTGCCAAAGGACCTAAAGAGGTGCGCATGCTATCAGGATCAAAACATGAATCAGAGGGTGATGAGAATGTTCAAAACGAAAATGAAGATGTCGAACAACCTTTCACGTCCTCAGTGATGATAAATATAACAAAAAGAGAAGCTAAAAGAATAAAAATAACCGGATCAAATTTCTCCAATAGTCAAAGCATATTCAAGCTTCATAATGAAAGAAGATCAAGCTGTGGTTGTAGGAGAAATTTTTAAACAACTTAAGAAGGAGTTTGTACGACATAACAAGTGAAACAAGTCGTACTCTGGAAATCTTCTATGGAATAGAGCCATCAAGGGGATGAAAGTACAAGAAAAATATAAAGACATAATTAAGAGTTGTCTTTTTTAGGTCTGTACCTTAAGCATTATTCTGTTTTTCTAAGAATTTTTTTTATGCTATATTAAGACCTTGATGATTTATGAAATATATGAAGCATGTTGTTTTATGTTTAATTGCTTTATATATACTTTATTTGAGTGGGAGCTCTGAAGTGATAAATTATTTATGAACCATATGTAACGATTAAAATATTTGTAAAATTCTTTATAAATGATAGTGATTTTATTAGAATCAATGTGATGGGAGATATAATCGTAGCCTCTTGATCGTTGACCTAATAGAGTTGTTATTATTCTAATAAAGAATAATACAAATATAAGACATTGTATGTTTCTCATAAGTATTTTATTCTTGGTTTAACATAGAAAACTATTAATATGGGATAGTTTCGTCTCAGAACTAAGAATGACAACAAAAAGCATAATCACTGAATTGAACGAGGGCGACAAATTAAACGGGGATAACTGGGATATCTAGCATCGTAAGGTGTCATATATTTTGGAAGAATAAGATGCTGTTGAGCCATTGACTAAAGTCATGGCCGAGCCTGAGGTAGGAAACTCGGCTCAGCATAGGAGAGACCAAGAGGCATTTGAGGCATGAAAACGAAAAAATAACATCGCACAAATAACACTTCTAAGTGCTATGGCGGACGATCTGATGTGCAAATTTGAGAAGCACTCCACTGCCCAAGCCATGTGGGCTGCCTTAAAAGAAAAATTTGGTGGTACCTCAACCACCAAACTGAGAAGGCTTACAATTAAATTCGACACTTATAAATTAAAGTCAAATACTCTCATGCGATAGCACCTTGGAGAGATGGCCAACATGATCTGTGAACTTAAAGAAGTTGGGCACAATCTTTCTGACGAACAGCAAGTACAAGCTGTAATCAGATCACTCCCACACAGTTGGGAACATATGAAAGTTAACTTAACCCACAATGAAAATATCGTTAACTTTAACGATGTGGTTGAACATCTGGAGCTAGAGGCTGAACTCTGGAGGCTTACAAGTCATCTGGACAAATTTACCTTGTCGAGGAAGGTGGTCCTTCAAATTCTAAGCCTAAGAGAGGCAAGAAACAACATAAGAAGGGTAATAAGAATGGCCCTAGAGTAAAGAAGGACAAACAACCTTTCAAGAAAAAGGACAAGAAGAGTGGCAAAAAGAGAATTAACCTTAAAAAGGTCAAATGTTTCGCCTGTCAAAAGATGGGCCATTTTGCAAAGGACTGTCCTAAGTAAAGTGGACGTGATTAAGTACTTGTGAATTATGTGAATTCACATTTTTCTTATGTTTTCAGTAATGTTTTTCTAACGAAAATTGTTTCCTCTTCTTGGATTGTAGACTCAGGCTCCACAGACCACATAAGCAAGGATTGTGGATCCTTCATAGAGCACCGTCAGTTGCCGAATCAAAGCAAGTAGCTTTACGTTGACAACAATGTGAGGATCGAGGTAAAAGGCATAGGAACTTGCAAGTTGATCTTGCGAGGTGGAAAAACCTTAATTCTCCAGGATGTTTTACATGTACCGAACATCCGACGGAACTTAATTTCAATTGATTGCCTTTTAGAATTTAGGTTTGTAATTAATTTTCATGACAAGATTATTGACATTATGTACAATTTAACTTTTTATGGTTGTGCTTTTCTTTCAAATAGGTTCTTTATAATGGATATTGTTGACCAAGTTCATTTTTATGATTGCTTTACCACCTCTTCCAATAATGTAGATATGAATATTTGGCATGCTAGACTGGGGCATATTAATCAAAATAAAATGATTAAGCTAGCTAAAAAAGGAATGCTAGGTGCAATTACAAATATGGAAATGTCCTTATGTGAAAATTATCTAGCTGGTAAAGCAACAAGAAAACCTTTTGGTAAAGGTGTTAGGGCTGAAAATCCATTACAATTAATCCATTCTGATATATATGGTCCTATAAGTATAAGGGAAAAACACGAAGCTTGGTATTTTATTACCTTTATTGATGATTTTTCACATTTTGGTCATGTCTATTTGATATCACAAAAGTCTGAAGCTCTTGAGTGCTTTAGACGATAAATTAATGAGGTTGAAAATCAAATGGACAATAAAATTAAAGCATTACAAACTGACCGAGGACGTGAATACTTGTCTGATCAATTTAAAGAACTTTGTGAAGAAAAGGGAATAATTAGACAACTAACTATTCTTGGCACTCCATAACAGAATGGAGTTGCTGAAAGAAGAAATAGGACTCTTCTAGACATGGTTAGGTCAATGATGGCACAAGTAAATCTTCTAATCTCGTATTGGGGGGACACTTTACTAACTGTAGCCTTCATACTTAATCATGTGCCCTCAAGATCAGTTACTTCCACACCCTATGAGTTATGGACAAAATGCAAACCAGATTTAAATATCTTAAGACTATGGGAGTCATCTGCATATGTTCATGATGATTCTTATGAATATAGAAAGTTAGGTCCAAGAGGAAAGAAATGTATCTTTATAAGATACTCTGAGCAATCAAAGGGTTATGTTTTCATTGGTGAAAATGATGATGGAACTGTAACTGAATTTGAATCTAGGAATATCACATTTTTAGAAAATGAGTTTCCTAGCAGGGGAGAAATTGATTGAACAATATCTCTTTATGAGACACGAGAGCAACATAATATAGAACTTATAGAAAGGCCTGAATCATCGCAAAATGCTAATTTAAGTGGCAGCTCTAAAAGGTCTTTCAGAAGACCTAAAAAGAATCAAAATCCATAAGAGACCCCACTTT